GGATGAGAGGAGGCGCATGATTAGCAGCTACACCATCCCCGTGATCGAACCTGCCCCGGGAGCGGAGGAGGGGACCGACTCCGACGGTACCTGTTTTCGAGCCAGGGTCCGAAGCCGTCCTCAACGCTGGCTTTGTGTGGCATGATGCCAGGCAGCCAGGGAGAGATTGGGAGCCAGAGAGAGGTTGGGAGCCAGGGAGATAATCATAGAGGGAGGGGGAGGTATGGAGGCGGGGATGAGTCAGGACGGGAAAAAACACACACAGACACGATTAATCGTCGATTACCCAGAAAGTATGGGAAACTACGGGAAGTATAGGAAACTATGCGAAGTGGGGGGAAGACAAAAACCCAGAAAATATGGAAAAATATTGGGAATCTGGCTCTTTGTGTGTATTTATTTGTGTGTCCCAGGGCCCCTTCAATGAGGGGGAGGAAGAAGAAGGGATCGAGGCAGGGCGGACGAGGGCAACGACGACGAGGAAACAGAAGGTGGCAGTGAGGGATGGAAGGAGGCAGGGAGTGCGGGGGTCGACATACCACCAGCGAGGAGAGGAGGGAGCGAGCCGACTCCGCTCGTGCCCGAGTTCGAGCCGGACTGCGAGACCGTGCTCAACGACGGCACGGTGTGGTACGATGCAAGGACCTCGTATTCATTGTTCATCTTGTCTGATTGCTCTACCTCGCCCTGCCCTCTCCTCCCCCTCCCCCTCCCCCTCCTCCTCCTCCTCCTCCTCCTCCTCCTCCTCCTCCTCCTCCTCCTCCTCCTCCTCCTCCTCATGTTCATGGTCGCCCAGTGTCGGGGCGTCGTGGCCCTCCAGGGGAGCATCAGGGCCATGATGGGCCAGTGTTGAGCATCTCGGGTCAGTCATGTGGCGGTTTGGGCTCGTCTTGCGGATGTCTTGGAAGGAGATTTTGCGGTAATGGGGCCTTGTGCCAAAGGCTCCAGGTGCTGATTCGTAGCTGTAGCACTGGGGGCATCTATGTTTTGCTCGTTCAGTGTCATCGATCCCAGTAGACCTCGCGAGAGAGCTCAGAGGAATGCTCTGGCCACGTTCCAGCACTGTGAGAATACGATGCTTTGCCGCTTCAAACGGGCCACGGCTGCACCCCCTCATGGATATGGGAAGAACACTTGGAGAGATGTGGACGCACGTTGGTCCCGATGTGGTGGAATGCATTATTCCGCGAGCACAGAATTTACAAAAGAGGTCATGACCTGACGCACGCGCGGCAACGCTGTGTGGCGATTTGTAAGCAGCCTCATTGTTCTGTCTCCTCCTCCTCCTCATCCTCCTCCTCCTCCTCATCCTCATCATCATTATCTTCCTCGTCTTCCTCCTCCTTCTCCTCCTCCTCCTCCTCCTCCTCCTCCTCCTCTTCCTCCTCTCTCCTCCTCCTCTCTTCCTCCACAACCTGCAGTCGGTTGCCGCTGGTGCTGCTTTCGTCGTCCCCGTCGAGCGGACGTCAAGGCTCCTGCGCGCGCGCCGGCTGCCAGGATGAGATGCCCGAAGGGGCGCCAGACGGCGCCGGAGGGGCAGCTCGGGATGCAGTGCAGTCATCGACCGCGCGGGCGGCTCAAGATCGAGGTTCGAGGATGGGTTGTCGAGACCTTTCACAGGCGTCTGAGGTATCCGTTGTCTGTCTCCAGGGGGCTTCTCGTTTCCACAGCCGGATCCCTCTCAGATGGAAGTCTTGGCGGGGCAGGCCTCGACTGTGGGGGGCGGGGGGCGGGGGCGACTTCGGGTTGCCGCCCCCGCCCGAGCCGCCCTGGGCGTCTCGGCGGCCAGGCTGCTCGCACCCCTCGGAGCTCCGAGGCCGTCTCCCCTTTTTCCGGCGGCTCCCCGGGCGCCCGCCCGCGGCTTGTGCCAGTGGCCAATGGCAGAGGTGTCAGCACCACCGCCGTCGTCATCATCGTCGAGCTGCTGTATGGGTTAAGTCGGGCACGTCCCTCTCCAGGAGGAGGAAGGTTCAAAGCTAAGGTCCAGACATGGCCTGGGGACGAGGTTTGTACGTTTTGCTTCTCAATGTGAGCATTGTTCGATTATGTGTCATGCCTCGTCCAAAATCCGCCTGTAGGAGGACACGCCCGACCGAATGGTATGGCAATGAGAACGCATTCTTGGTCATGCATGGGCGCCAAGAAGATGTTAGCATGGGAGTGCTGCAAGGGTAAGCCAGAACCAGCGAAGCAGAGGGCGCCACGCCTCCCGATCCGTGAGAAGGGGGGGGCAGTGGAGCGGAGCGGAGCACCTGCGCGAGAGGGGCATGCTGCTCAGGTGGGCGCCGCTTGTGCTCTCAGCAGACGGTGGGGGCCTTCGTGAAGGAATGTGCCCAGGAGGCTTCAGACTCTGACCTGGCATCGTTCGGACGTGTGCATTTTTTCCTCGGCGAGAACCATCGAGGAGCATCCTTGATCATTTGGCGGAAAAATCACGCACGAAACCGAAAAAAACACAGGGAATGGACGTCCGAGCGATCGGAGTCCCGCCAGCTTCCAGACCCTGAGCTCCTTCTCTAAGGGTTCCGTGTCCAATGCCCCCCACCGCAAGCTCTCGAGCGAGAAGGGGGCGAGGGGAGGGACGCGCAGGGGGGCACGGGGGGCGGGCGGGGGGGACGGAGGGCGAGCGGGAGGGGGGGGGCGGAAGGAGGGGGAGAGGGCGGCGGCAGGAGGGAGGAGCCCGGGGCGCCATGGGGAGACGGGCCCCCGAGGGGAAACGGGCCCTGAGGTCTCCGGTTCGCCGTCGGCGGGCCCGCGGGCCTCCCCCCGCGGGGCCCCGGACCGTCGGCCAACGGATCGGGGGCGGGTCCCGAGGGAGGCGGGTCGCGAGGGAAGCGGGTCCTGGCGGGAGACGGGCCCCGAGGTGCTTCGCCGTCCTCGGGCTCGCGGGGAGGTGGTGGAACCTACCAGCCACCACGACCACCACCATCACGACCACCACGACGACTACCACCAGCAGGACCACCGCGACCACCACCAGCTTGACCACCACCACCACCACCACGCCGACGGGCACCGCCGCCCCCCGTCCCCCTTTCCCTTCCTCGTCCCTCCCCGTCCCCGGCCGGGCCGCCCTTGCCGGTGCGCCTCCTGCGCGGCCTCCTCCTGCCCCTCCTTCTCCTCCCCGTAGTTAGCTGACTATAGACTCTTTCCCGCTTGCCCGGCGGTCCCCACGGCGACGGGGTGCGGGGCCAACTCTGGCGCCGCCGGGCCGAGGAGGAGGAGGAGGAGGAGGAGGAGGAGGAGGAGGAGAAGGAGGAGGAGGAGGCGACGCGGGCTGAGGATCGCGTCCTGGGGGAAGGCCCCAGGGACCCCCGGACCCGTCCCCCTCGGGACCCGCCCCCCCCCCCCCCACGTTGACATCGGGGGTGGACAGAACCCCCACCCTGACACGTCGATTGGTGAATTGTCCGTTTTCGGTTCTCGAGAGGGCGCCGCGGCCGTCGTTTCCCAGGCTTGCGCCCGCCAGGTTTGGGTCCAGGGGTCGCTTTCACTGAGCCACGTTTTGCTAAAGGGGGTTTTGTCCATCCGCGGTTACAGAGGGGAGGAAGGCGGAGGCACGATCTCAAGGGTGCTCCTGGGGAGAGCTAGCTTCCTGGGGCTTGGGGGGGGTGCTTCGTCGGGACTGGTGGGCGGCTTCGCGGCGGCAGCACCAGGAGGGGCCCCGAGCTCCGAGCGGTTCCCTTGGGAGTCCAGGCACCGTTCGGGCGATGCCCTGGAGCGTCCAGGGGAGCCCCTGGGGGCCTGCATGGGGGCCCCAGAGGGCCAAAGAGACCCCCAGGAGATGTTGGCGCAGGCTCCTTCGATGCCCATCGATGGCATCCAAGGTACGAGGCCCCCAGCAGGGGGTGGCACGCCAGGTGACCCCGGATCGCCCCTGCGGCTTCCAGGATCCGACCGCGGGTAGACGCAGCGGCCGTCGCGCCTTCCACGGGCGCGCGAGAAGGAAGAGGAGGAGGAGGAGGAGGAGGAGGAGGAGGAGGTGGAGGAGAAGGAGGAGGAGGAGGAGAACGTGCAATTGGAGAAGGAGCACGAGCAGGAGCGTCCGCGGCAGGAGCTCCAGCAGTCTGGGTAGAGGCGGGAGGGAGAAGCAGCCACAGGGGACGAGGGACGGATATCCGGGCCGAGCGTCGGGAGAAGCAGTGCCCCTCAACATGGACACGCGGCTGCGAGGCCGAGCGAACGCCGCCGAGCTCTGGCCTGCTTCTAGACGTCTGTGCATGCTCGTGGCGCCGGTGCCGCGATCGCCAGAGCGGGGGGCCAGACCGTCACCCATTGGAGCGACGGCAGGGGAGCGCGCGGGGACGGGGGAGCACCTGGAAGAGGTGCGCGGCGTGCGCCGTGGACAGATGCAGGCGGCTTGTGTTATGTCGGGCATGTCCCCCTACAGGTGGATTTTCGACGACGAATAAACAATACCCCAAAAGTGCTCAAGATGGCCCAACAAATGCTCAAAAAATAGTCCCCAGACGATGTGTGGTCTATGTTTCATGATTATTATTATTATGAATCATTATTATTATATTAGTACTATTATTATAGTGTATTATTAGTATTAGTATTTTTATGATGACTATTATTAGTAGTAGTATTATTATCATTATTCGTATTACTATTATTATTCTTATTATTATTATTACTATTATTATTTGTAGTATTATTATTATTAATAATAATAATAATAGTATTATTATTATTAGTATTATTATTCGTATCATTACTATTATTATCATGTTTGGGGTAATTTTTATTTTTCGTCGAAAATCCCCCTGTAGGGGGACAGGCCCGACTTAAGGCTTGTGGCCCACGGAGGACGGAAGCCCCGAGCTTGGCATGCGTGGTGGAGGCCAGCTCGGGCATCTGCACGGCGACGAGCTGTGTGCGGGCTGCACGGGGCACGGCGGCGCGCCTTCGTGCACACGGGTGTGAAGGAGGGCGGCTCTCGCCGACGCTGGCAGCTGGGACGGAGGCGAAGCTCACGCTGGGGTGGAGGGTGGGAGGTGCCAAGCCCCTACGAGATCGTGAAGCTTCTGTGCACCGTGTCGTCTGCGGTTCCCGGGGCAGTGCGCCGGCGCCCGCGCCCACGTGCCAGCACTTGAGCGCGCCTCCGTGTGTGTCCGTGTCCGTGTCCGTGTCCATGACCACGTGCGCTTCACGCAGCATGTCCCCGTCCCTCTCCATGCTCCGTCCCTCTCCTCCCTCGTTCCTCGTTCTGCTCCCTGCCCGTCCTGCAGTTCGTTGTGCTGCCCCTCCGCTCCGCAAGGGGCGGAGAGGGGCAAGCCGGCAGGGGTGCAAGGAGTGGAGCTCCCCATCCTCGGCCTCGTCGTCCCCTTGTTATCTTCATCCGATCTGCTTCTTATGAGTGAGCCAGGCATTCCCATGGAGAGGCCTGCACGCCGCCTCTTGTTCCCCTTGCTTCGTCCTCCTCGTTCCCTTCTCGTGCTTCCTCGTCCCTCATCCTTCGCAGCTTTCCCTCATTCCTCGCCCCTAGTCCTTCTCATTTTTCCTCGCCCCTTATCCTCCTCATGTTTCGTCCTCCTCGTTCCCTTCTCATGTTTCCCTTCGCATCCGCCTCCCCCTCGCCCCTTATCCTCTTGTTCCCTTCGCACCCGCAGTGGTCCCTGACCAGACTTTCAGCGGGCTCACTTCTTCCAATCCGTGGGCACCCGAGCTCTCGACCCCTTCCTCAGACGGCAGTCATTAATCGTTCATGTTTTGTTTGTCCAGGGGCCCAGAAGAAACGGGCCAGGATTGCAAGCATCGATCCTTCAAAGGTTTGGGCCCTGCTTCAGAAACCGATTCCCGGACATTTCGTGGGGTGATTCTTGTATACGAATTCTTGATGTTCTCGCAGATCCCGCCCTGCCCATCCAGGAGCCATCTTGGAGGCCATCGGGTGGAAAAAGGGGGCTGGCCCAGATTTGCATTGCCCCATCTGGAGTCGTGGCTTTTGACTCGTACTCTCCATCTTGCGCGATGGTCGTTGTTTGCCACTGTCGGGTGAAACAAGGGGGGGCCGGCCCAGATTTGCACTGCCCCATCTGGAGTCGTGGCTTTTGACCTGTATTCTCTCGTGCGCGATGGTTGTTGTTTGCCATTGTCGGGTGAAACAAGGGGGGGCCGGCCCAGATTTGCACTGCCCCATCTGGAGTCGTGGCTTTTGACCTGTATTCTCTCGTGCGCGATGGTTGTTGTTTGCCATTGTCGGATGAAAATAGGGGGTGGCCGGCCCAGATTTGCACTGCCCCATCTGGAGTCGTGGCTTTTGACCTGTATTCACTCGTGCGCGATGGTTGTTGTTTGCCATTGTCGGGTGAAAATAGGAGGTGGCCGGCCCAGATTTGCACTGCCCCATCTGGAGTCGTGGCTTTTGACCTGTATTCTCTCGTGCGCGATGGTTGTTGCTTGCCATTGTCGGATGAAAATAGGGGGTGGCCGGCCCAGATTTGCCCTGCCCCATCTGGAGTCGTGGCTTTTGACCCGCATTCTCCATGTGCCGCGATAAGTCGTTCTTTGCCGTTGCGCGCGCTGCCGTCTCCCACAGTGCCCGCCCCGTCCCCACATGCATATGCTGCTGCTCCGCCGTGTGCCGGCGCCGCTCGCTCTGCCCCCCCCCCCCCCCAGGAGGGGGCGGAGGAGGAGGAGGAGGAGGAGGAGGAGGAGGCGGAGGAGGAGCGGAGGAGGAGGGGGGCGGAGGGAGGAGGAGGAGGAGGAGGGGGGAGGCGGAGGAGGAGGAGGAGGAGGGGGAGGAGGAGGAGGAGGAGGAGGAGGAGGAGGAGGAGAAGGAGGAGGAGGAGGAGGTCCTTCCCCAACGTGCTCCGCTGCGCTTTTACCCGCTCGCTTGCGGGGCTCCGCCGTCGGGAGCGTTTGGAGGCACCGCGTGCCCAGAGATCCAGCGCGTTGAGGAAATCAGGACGGAGGTTTTTCGCAAAGTCGGGCCCCTGGAGGCACGCGCCGGGCCTTGGGACCGGCAACAAAACGATGCATGGATGAATTGGCACGAACGAAATGGGTACTCCAGATTTCGTTTAAAAAGGGAGGGGGTCACAACCCTCCCAGACGATAAGTTTTAGACCCCCCCAGCCCATCCATGAAAGAGCGGCCCTTTGCCTAGACCCCACCGAGCCCTCCAAGACAGCTCAAATCGCACCCCCCCCCAAAATGTGACCCCCCCCCACTATATTATGGAATCCAAGGTACGGAAAGAAGGGGCACAGTGCCCAACACCGGTTCCTGCTCATTTTGAGCAGGACTCGCTGTCCGCGCCGCCGCGGCCTGTGTCCATCTGAGGCAGAAGGCCGCCTGCCCAACAGCGGCCGCTGTTAGTTTGGGACGACATTTGCTGTTGGGCATTCTACCCATTTTTTCGTACCCATTCTGGGCGTCCAAATGTATGAAGAACCGGTCCTGGGGAATGGGTCGAGACTTCCGGGGGCTGAAAAGAGCACGACGTCGGATCTGTGGATATCTGGCCCTCGCTTCGCTCGTCTTTCGGGCCCTCGTCGGTCCCCCTCGTCGATGTTGCGACTTCAATTCGGAGTTGGCGCCTGACTCTAATCCACACCCAAATAGAAATAGGCATCGCCATACATCAGATCAGGCGCGTATGCTGCCCCCTGTTCGGTAGCAAATCATGGGAGCCTGGTATACTTCTAATTCCGTCTTCAGCGTCGACTAGCATCGATTAGTGTTTGGGAGTCGATGGGATAGCGACGATTTAGCGTCGGTTAGGGTCGATACGCGTCGATGTATTGTCGACTAGCGTCGGCTCGCAAGAGCCAACAAGATGGTATGGAAGGCTCCCATGAGTTGCCACCGAACTCTCGGCACTCCTCGTCAGGTTCATGCGGCGTTGGCGCGCCAGCGACGACGGGGAAGGCGTTCAAGGTTGACGCCTGTGACGCGGAAGCACCAAGGGACACCGTAACGCCACTGGACCCGACGGCATTTGACCTGGAACGATCGGGGCCGCGATCTATTCAAGGTTGAACGATCGACGCGGTGTCAAGCACGATTGGGAAGGTACAGCGGCCGGTGCCGCCGACCTTGAAGGGGGACGGCGACGACGACGACGGCGGCGGCGGCGGCAGTCGCGACGACGACGAAGCTGGTTCCGCTCTGGAGCCTTTCTAGGTGCTCTCTTGGGAGTCTCTTGGGCTCTGTTGGGGCTTGGGCTGGGGCCGCGGCTGGGGCCAGGGCTGGGGCTGGGGCTGAGGCCGATGGGGCCACGGACGGGGCTGGGGCCGGCCGGGGGCCCGGGGCCAGGGCCGGGGCCAGGGCGCCGGGGCCAGGACCTGGGCTGCGGCCCCCTCGGCTGGGCCGTGTCCAGGGCCGGGGCCGGGGCCGGAGCAGGGGCCAGGGCCGGGGCCGGGGCGCGGGGGGAAAACGTCTCTGGGTGGCGACCCCCCCGGGAGACCCCCCAGGACCCCCCCCAGGACCCCCCCACCCCCCCTTTGGCGCGGGGAAGGGATCAAAGGGAAGGGGCTTCCCTTCGATTCCACTCCGATGTTGTTCAATTTTGCTTTGGACGGCGCGTATGAGGAAGAGGGCCCAGGCAAATGGAACAGACGAGGACGGAGACGACGACTCCAACAGAAAAGCCCGACTCGAACGGAAAGGACCCTCACACACGACGACAGCGTCGGCGGACTTTACCGAACAGTCGGACCGAGGTATCAGATCGAGGTCGGTTCGGTGAGGGTACCCTCGTGTTCTTCGTGTTTGTTGGATGTTCTTGCGCATCCTGGTGAAGGTACCCTTGGATGTGTTGTTTGTTCTGGCCGACGGAGGGCGTTCTTGCGGGGTGTTCTTCTGGCCTGGGTCCGATGGTTGGGTCTCTCCTGAAGCTCCGCGCGGGTGTGTTGTTTGTTTTGGCCGACGGAGGGCGTTATTGAGGGGTCTTCTTCTGGCCTGGGCCCGATGGTCGGGTCTCTCCTGCAGCTCCGCGCGGGCGGGCCCGCCCGGGGATGCCGCGCCGCGCGCGCCCCCTGCCGCCGCGGCCGCCCGCCCTGCCGTGCCCGGGGATGCTGCCGCAAAAGCTCCCGGGCGCGGCTGGGCCCGCGGAGTGGCCAGGGCGGGCTCGCGAGGCGCGGCCCTCCCGTGGGACCCCCCTCCTTTCTGAGCCCCGCCCCGCCCCCCGACGTCAACGCCACAGCCTCGGTGTGCGGCAGGGCCCCGCCGCCCCGCGCCGCCCCGCCGCCCCGACGCCCCCGGCGGGCGGGCCTCGCGGGGCGCGGCCCGCGAGCGGGGCATCCCCCCGCGCTCCCCCCCCCCCCCCCACCCCCACCCCCTCCCTCCAGCGCCCCGGAGGCTCCAGACCCTCGCCCTCCCGCGCCTTCGGCCACAGGAGGAGGAGGAGGAGGAGGAGGAGGAGGAGGAGGAGGAGGAGGAGGAGGAGGACCGTGCGCCCGTTTTATTTTTGTCCTCGGCCTGCCCCTGCCGCGGGGGCCGCCTGGGCTCCGCCGCTCCTGCCGCCCTCCGCCGCCCTCTCGAGCCCGTGGCTCGCGGCGGCCCGCTCCGAGCACCGGTGCCCCCCCGCTCCCGCAGGGTCAGCGCTGGCGGGGGGTCTGGTTTGAAGTCGGGTACGTCCCCCTACAGGAGGCGGAGGAGGAGGAGGAGGAGGAGGAGGAATATCCAAAAATGGTTCTAAACAAATGGGATCGGGACGATGTTTCGAGTGTCTCTGACGGTCTTCTTGTACTCTTGATGTGTTGCTTCACCTTCACCCGAGATCCGCCTGCAGGAGGACATGCCCGACCTCGGTCGCCCCCCCCGGCGCCTCAACTCTGAGCTTCGGTTGGGCGCGAACGAATGGGGGGCGATGGCTGGGGGTGAGATGGTGCCGCTGCGGACCCCCAAGGGCCTTTTTCTGGGCCCTTTAGGGGCCCTGGAGGGTTCCTTTTCGGACCTCATAAAGCGTTGCCCCATTCGGGGGAGATGGGGGCGTTTTCCCTACAGTGGGGCCCCATGCCAAGAAACACCCTGCTTGCCTCCAGGGTGCCCTTCGTTTCTTGGGTTTCGATGGTTTTGCGATGGAAAGCGCGACGCTACCACACCAAAAATCGATGGACGCCCTTAGGTCTCAAGGTTGGGTTTCTTGTGGAAGGTTTCTTATGGTCGGGCCCCCACTGCAGTTGTTTCTGCCTATCGTAGCGGTGGCCAGTCGTGGCCAGGAACGTGTCCACAGTACTACACCATGTTTGTCCAGCACGTGCTATCCACACTACACGCTGTCGCGTCGAAGCAGCATAGGATTGGGCTCAGACGCCCCAGTGGGTGCACGCGCGGTTCCCAGTCAGCGCTGACCGGGGGTCAGCCGGTCCCCACCTGGCCGACCCGGGTTTGGGAACCACGTGGGGCCGGTTCCCGCCCTCCGCGTGATCAGCGGCAGAACGATAGAGGCACATGTTCCTATTCGTCGTCCTCCTCCTCCTCCTCCTCCTCCTCCTCCTCCTCCTCCTCCTCCTCCTTTCCTCCTCCTCCTCCATCTCCACCTCCTCCTCCTCCTCCTATTCGTCGTCCTTCTCCTCCTCCTCCGTTGGGGAGCGGCTTTGGTTGGTGAATCGGGACAGGTCCTTGCGCGCATGTATGGGGCCCTAGGCAGCTATTTCCCACAGACGAGTGTTGCGGCTGAATTCGCAGTCCCCACTTCTGCGGCCAGCGTGCTTAGTGGCCCAGCCGAGTTTTTCAGTGATTGTCAAGCGGTCGTGAACCAGCACGGCAAGAGCCGTGAAGAGAGACTGTCTTTGCGCCGCCCATACAGTGGTCTCGTCATGCAATGTGATTTTTTCGCTGGTAGTTTGCTGCGCGCTGTCACGAAGGTGAAGGCGCATCAGGAGGACAATGCAGACTTGCCAGCAGCTGAGCGCGCTCACCTCATCGGCAACAACGCCGCGGATGAGGCGGCAAAGGCGGGTGCGCTCCCGCATCCAGATTTCTGTGACGAGGAGCGTGACAGCTACTCTTTCCTTATCTTAGTTTCGAAGGCTGTCACCAAGCTGGCGGCGAAAGTTTTGTGTGTGTGGCCCCGCACCGACCTGACAGGAGTCGAGCGCACACCCGCTGCTGCTCGGCCTCAGAGGCCTTCGGGGCCCGCCCATGTTTGGAGTTGGGTGGGCAGCTGCTGGCAGTGCCCCCACTGCCTCAGGGTCTCTCGCAGCAACTCGAAAC